TCACCTAGCACAAGCTGCATGGGTAGAACTGAGAGAACCACCAGAGACAAACTGGGTCATCCTATCATTTTCTTTGGTAAATCACAAGTGTGCCTTAATTTCAATGTGGGCACATGTAGCTTTAGTGCATGCAGGTTATTGCATATTTGTTTGGACACCGTAGTGGAAGGTACCCGGCCGAAATTTCTTTGCACAAAAGGCAATCCCCAACCTGTACTTGATTGTGCAAAAGGAAGTAATGGCATGTCTGGCGCACAGTGTTGGGGCAAGGGTCCATCTGACCACTGATACCTGGCCTGCAAAGCATGGTCAGGGCAGGTATATCACCTACACTGCGCATTCGGTAAACCTGCTGACGGCTGCCAAGCATGGAATGCGTGGCTCTGCAGAGGAGTTGGTGACACCGCCACGACTTGCAGGCAGGCCTGCTGCCACCTCCTCTACTCCTCCTCTACATCCTCTTCCATAACCTCCTCGGCTGAGTCCTCTTCTGCTGCTGCGTCTTGCTCCACATCAACGGCACCCCCCAGCTCCCCAGTTAGTTTTCCACATCCCGGATATGGCAGTGTCACGCCGTCTTGGGGTTGACTTGCCTGAAAGCAGAGAGTCACACCGGACCAGCACTCCTGTCTGCCCTGAACGCACAGGTAGATCAGTGGCTGACTCCGCACCAACTGGAGATTGAAAAAGTGGTTTGTGACAACGGAAAAAATTTGTTGGCCGCATTGCATTTGGGCAAGTTGATACATGTGCCGTGCATGGCACATGTATGTAATCTGATCGTACAACGCTTTGTGCATAAGTACCCAGGCTTACAGGATGTCCTGAAGCAGGCCAGGAAGGTGTGTAGCCATTTCAGGTGTTCCTACACGGCCATGGTGCACTTTTGAGATATCCAGCGGCGAAAAAACATGCCAGTGAGGTGCTTGATTTGCGTCAGCCCGACACGTTGGAATTCAACACTCCTAATGTTCGACCGCCTGCTCCAACAAGAAAAAGCTGTTAACGAGTATTTGTATGAACGGGGTGCTAAGACAGCCTCTGCGGAGCTGGGAATTTTTTTGCCACGTTACGGGACGCTCATGTGCGCATACCATGTGTCCAAATAAAATGTACCCATGTCTTCTCAGCACTACTAACCAATCACCCTTTCAGACATTTGGTAAATTTTCTCATTTCTGGATTCTCAGAGGGGTTTCATACAGGCATTATACATATGCCCACAGGCCAACTCGAATGTCCTAATTTACAATCAGCACAACAAAACCCAGCAGCCATAGACACACTCTTAGCCCATGGCGCACAAATCCCATAGGGATAGTCACAGGGAAAACTTCCCTCAAGCAAAGACTCATCATAGATCTGTCATCCCCTCATACCTCATCTACACCGAGTCTGAACTCTCTTATTCCCTCCCAAGAGTTTTCCCTACAATATGCCACCATAGACCATGCCATTACAGCCATTATGTGAGCAGGGATCGGAGCATGGCTAAGTAAGACAGACATTACCAATGCCTTTAAACTACTACCTATCCATCCCACACTATGGCACTTACATGGCATCAAATGGGCAGATATCTATTACTTTTTCTCCCGCTTAACCTTTGGGTCAAAATGTAGCCCCAAAATCTTCGACACTTTTGCTTTATGTGTCTAGATGCCCCATAGTCATCCATTATTTCTTACTGATTGAAGCAAACTCCCTTCCGCCCAGGAGTCTCAAAGCAACTATTAGTTTGTTTGACCACCTTGGAGTCCCGGTATCCAACAAGAAAACCGAAGGTCCAGATACAATTATTAAATTTCTAGGTATACAACTAGACTCTGCCTCCATGCAAGCTAATTTACCACAAGAGAAAATCACAAACATACTTAACAACATTAACCATTACATTTTGCTGGGTAATTGCAACCGCAAGGAACTACAATCCCTCATAGGTTCTTTGAACTTTGCCATGCGCATCATTCCTCAAGGGCTGGCTTTCATATCCAGACTTCTCTGTCTTTTCCCACATTTCAAACAAGACAACTATAGACTATCTTTGGATGCGCATGCCACGGCAAACCTATATATGTGGAAAGAATTCTTGACCACCTGGAATGGTAAAAGCTTGTTCCTACCAGAGTTGACTGACACGTCTCCAACAATATGGTCAGATGCGGCGTCTACCACAGGTTTTGCAGCAATCTTTGGGAACAAATGGCTTTGGGGTAAGAGGCCTGAAGAAGTCTATGACTTAGAAGGCTTTTTTACAACCTCAGCTCTTTTTGAGATTTATCCCATTGTAGCAGCTGCCGTGGCGTGGGGACATTTATGGTCAGGCTTATCAGTCTGTTGCCACACAGACAACCAAGCAACATGTCACACTATTAACAAAGGCCGTTCATCATCCCTAACAATTATGAGATTTCTCAGGAAGCTCACGTGGTTAGCAGCATGTCACAATTTTTACTTGGTCTGCTTTTATATACCAGGCATTACTAACATAGCAGCTGACAGTCTGTCTCGTTTCAACTTTCAGGCTTTTCAGCAAGCACTCCCGTCAGCAGCACTTACAGCCACAGTTGCCCCTCCATTCCAGCAGCTAACCATGGACTAGAAATAATCATGCAACATAGCAGGGTTCTGTCCAAACTTGCACTATCATCCAACACTCACAAAACATACAACAGAGCCTTCACACTTTTCGCAAGATTCCTATCCGACCATGACATAACTCATCCTTTCGTCATGACATCTATGATAGCCTTCGCTTCTTTTTGCCACCTTACATTACACTTATCTTACAACACAATCAAATGATATCTGACAGGCATTCAACATCATATGCTAACTCTACAACCCAAAACACATAGTTTCATGTCATCTTATCAGGTAAAGAATATACTTAGAGGTATTCAGTAATCCGTTCCTCCACCTCTTCCACAGAGATTACCTATAGATAACACACTTTTCCAGTCATTATCCGACCTATTAGACTCCAAACCTTTCCAATCTACTACCAACGCAGTCATGAAAGCTGCCATGTACATAGCATTCTACAGGTTCCTCAGGCCAAGGGAATGTTCTACTATCACCACCACTCAAAAAGACAGATGTCTTCTACGCACACACCTACGCAAACACATGGATCACTACATACTGTCTCGACCTCAGTCAAAAACAAGCCAACACGCACCTCCTGTGGAGATCACCTATTTTCCTACACACAACAAATGGTGTCCAGTAACAACGCTGGATTCCTACCTTTCACTTACCTCACCAACACCATTGCTACACCTATTTTCACTCAAAGGCTCTGTACTCAGTACTACGACTTTCATGCGATAAATCAGATCTCTGTTAACCAGGCTAGGTCTTAACCCTTCACTCTACTCAGGTCTGCATAGGGGCGGCTTCCACAGCTTCCAGCGCAAACATACCGGTGCATATCATTAAGTCATTAGGGCGGTGGAAGTCATCCGCCTACACAACCTCCATACCAAAACCTACACAAGAATTAAGAAAGGCTTTTAAAGAAATGTCTGGATAACTGTATGAAATTGTTGACTGTATTAAATCTTTGATTATTCAATTTTTGCCCTCTTTATTTACAGGCCTACCGTATCGTCGGTATCGGCACACCACAACTAACTTTGCTTGTTTATACTATCCTACGTTCTCACTTGAACCTACTCCATATACGGCTAAATTGCCACTTACACAAGTGTTAAAGCCGTTTGGCCTGTATTTGTGGAAGGGGCTGGAATTAAGTCACTCCCCTATATAAGGTACAACCCTTACCTGACTCCACACGGTTCAAGGTCAGCGTCTGAATGACCCTCCCACCCACTCCTCTTTTACAACACTTTCTTTTTTCAATTCTATCTTACTTTATTTCTTCTTGATGGGCCCTCTTTATTTACAGGCCTACCGTATCGTCGGTATCGGCACACCACAACCGACTTTGCTCGTTTATACTATCCTACGTTCTCACTTGAACCTACTCCATATACGGCTAAATTGCCCCTTACACAAATATATATATATATATATATATATCCATCCAAAGTAGGCAGGAGCACTCACTTGTTAAAAGTCCAAAGTTTATTAGAACATATTGTAAAAAACGATCAACGTTTCAATCCTGCATAGAGGACTTTCATCAGGATCAAAGACAAATACAATAAAAACATTCATTACTTATGTATACAGAGCAATCAATGTAATTGACTTACCCCCAGGTGAAAGCAGTGTAAAATCGCCGTTCTGCCGTTCCCAGTGCGCATGTGTGAATAGGCTCCGCCCCGTGATGACGTCATCGCGTATTGACGTCTAAAATGTTTCCATGGCTATGCGAATAGCTACATTCTCGCCATGAAGACAAGGTAAACAAAGGGGGAAACGTGCAGTGCATATAAGATGTGTTGGATCAAGACTAAATTAGTATGATTCAGTGGACGAATAGAATAAAAGTATGCTGTGTGGTTGTAGCATAAGTGCTGTGGTTAAATAGGTAGTGGAAATAAAGTACCACTATAATATTGCTCAAAAAGCTAGTAGTGCATCATTAAAGTGACAGAATTGCATTAAAAAAGTGCATAATTGCTATATTTGCCAATGACAATCTGGTTCTCAGTAATGCTTGAACAAAGTGACTAGTGCATAGGAAAGAAGTGAAAGTGCTAATAGTGATAAAATCCAGTGCAGATAAAAAGTGCACATAAAAATTAGTCACTAGTAAGTGAAGAGACCTGTAGCTATATTAGATACCCGAAATATGCAAAGGATATACAGCCTAATGCTGAGTATAAACCACCATATAAACACATATGTGACAAACACCTACTACATTCACATATTAAAAAGTCCTGGTCACAATGCTGCCAACAAACATGGTTGCTGCCTGTAGAATATTGCATATTCTATGTTTCTATTGATTATATATATGGATGTGTGGATTGACATAAGTAACAGATGGTATCAATAAGACACAAGGCTTTCTTTGTCCGAGAGCTCTGGAATGTGGATGTGGGGGTCTTGTCCTTATATGGCTAGAGTTAAATGCTGACGTTAGTATGAGCACATCTTTATAGTAACAGAGGGACACAAGGTCGCTCTCTCTTGGCTCGTGGCTCTTGGCTCTGAGCTCTCTCTGGCTCTCTCTCTTGATGTAAAGATGTAAGGATTTAAAGAAGTCCAGCAATTACCATCTGCTGTTGCATGTCCATTATCCTGTAACATCATTTATTATGTTTTATTATGTATCTGTAACTAAGAATAAACCTGAAGAAACCGTAAGTCAGATTGCGTATTACTACTTTTCAATAATATAGACATTTATTATTGTGGCGAGCATTTGGCCCAAGACTATATATACAAAAGACGTATATATATATCAATCATCAAGATTTTACATTGGCTAGCCAGCCAGTCTTCTATTCAAGTTTTGTTCCCACTTTAAGGGGGGAGAGAGAAGAATCGAGTTACAAATCTATTTTGGAACTGGGAAAACAAACTTGAAGAGAAAAAAAGAATCTAGACTGACTGTCATAGAAGAACTGTGGTTTGTAAGAAAAAGAAAGTTTTCAAATCACAAAGACTGTATAAGACTATTTTCTACAACTGAGAGAAAAAGCACAAGATACAACGTGAATTCTAGAAGCAAGCACGTGGCAGACATTGGCAAGCGTCCAGAACTGCGCAGCTGTGTGGATGAAGCAACGAAATAGACAGAAATAACTGATCTGGTGAGTAACATGGAATTCATTAATGATATTGCAGAGAAAAGTAAATTGCAGTTTGCATGTAAAAGCAGCTATTCAGATGCTGTTTTGTGGCAATCTTTATACACACAATGTGAAATTGCCAATAGTGAAATTGCCAATAGTGAAATTGACAAGAAATTTTTGTTAATAAGAAAAAACTAAAGATCAGAAATGTTATGAAACTAGTCTGTACTTACAATGCATTGATTTGTAAACGAGATGCAGGTCAAGACAATTTAGAATCAGCAGAAAAAGAAGTAGATTTGAATGGGTTAACAGAAGGCAAATCAGATTTAAATGAACAGTGTAACAATGTAACAGAGAGCACATTGTCAGAAACAGTCTGTGAATTAGAGGATAGAGTTGAACTAAGAAATGATCTTAGTTGCCAGCTTACAAATGAAGTTAAGCACGTTTGTGTTAATACAAGAAAAATAAAGGCACAGAATCTAATCCCAGAACCAACAGATACTGAAAATGTATCCTCACAGAGTGATTTGCAGAAATGTAAATTTCAAGATAGAGCTGCAAAACTTAATTTGAAAATCCATGAACAATTAATGAAAATTGTGAAATGTATTCCAGTTTATGACATGTCAGTGGATGCATTTACTAATGCTGAAATATTTGAGTCCAATTTAGACAAATACAGCCTTAACAACGAACAAAGGAATAGACTATTTTAAATATGGCTGCCGACTCAAATGGCATGTAGACTGACCACGCCTGTAAAATGTGAGGACAATGATGAAATAATATATGGAAATAAGCAAGACAGATTAACACAATTAATAAAATTAACAACAGGGAATGATTTTGCAGACACTGAAATGTTGGAAAAACTAAAACCACACAAGGGGGAGGATATATTTAGTTTTCTTGTAAAATTTGAAAGTGCATATAGAATCAGTTAATCTTGTGAAAAAATGTCAAGATCTAGATCCAACTGCAATTGTGTTAGCTAGAGAAAAAAGCACTTTGAATGACATTGCTTTGTTCTTGGATAACTTAAGGAGAGTAACCAATAATGAAGGGGTTAAAATGACTTGTGGATTTAGGCAGAGAAAGAAGTGCAGATTTTACACCCCTCGTCCCCCTCTTCCTCCTTCTTCTAGGACAGAGTGTAAAAGAGTGATACAGACAGCTGAGCCCCTCCCAATGTGTTCAACTAGAAACTGCACAGTTGATAATCAAAGCCAGAATATAACTCCTAAAATGATTTGTTTTTGGTGCAATAAACAACATTATTTAAGATCTTGCAGATATTTTATCCGAGATATCAAATCAAAAGCAAATGAGATAATTACATTTGTTGATTGAAAATTTTGACAGAGAAAATACATGTGGAGATAAATCAATTAAAGCCTTTCCTTGTAAACTGATAATCAGACAAATAAGAACAATTTTAGCTAAATCAAAATTAGGAGACAGACAAGCAATGCAGTGTAACACAGAAGGTTATAAGAATCAGATAACTTCAAGAGATATGATCAGTTTAGGGAATGAGCATGGATATGTGTGCCAACAGATGTACACAGGCTGATTCCAGAATTAAGAACAGCACAAGAATATAGATCTATGTTAGTATGTTGTTTTAATGAATTGTTAGTCTGTACTGTTTTTCATTGTTTTTATGTGTGTTATAAGAAAGTATTAGGTTTGTAACGAAATCCCCTATTTACAGACTATACGAACAAGCCTGTTCGGTTATTTGGAGAATTACAGTGGGATTTCGTGGAAATAACAATAAATGCGAAAGTGGCCGACCCCAGATAGCTATAGTATGGAACTTGCAGTCGGCTGCAAACACACGAACGGCCGGTGAAAGTCAAACTTCGGTCGACGATTCTGAGAACTGTGTTCGAGGGATCTGAGCGCTATTCGCCTAGAATATGCCCTCAGATCCAAGCTATCTGGGGATAGGTGGAACTTAAAGGTTATGTTGTGTAAAAAGAAAGTTATATATTTTTATTCTGTTTTGCTAAATAAGAAAAGCCATGCTTCTTTCTTCCTGGAGATAATTAAGGCTATCTTTGCTACCTTAAGTTAATTATCTCCAGGATGGAAAAGAGGGAGTGATTTATGTAAAAGGGGAGTGCTTATGCTATAGCCACTGTGATTGGCTACTGTGTTACTTTTGTCCCAGTCTTCCATCTGGTCCCTTAGGGGAGTGTCCACCAGGTGGAAGACCTGCATAAATACCTGGGCGGGTAGCCCACAGTAAATCAGATCGTTTTACCCCTTCATGAAGTCTCGACTCATGTTTGGGGGATTGAGAGTTATAATCACTTCGTTTCAGTTGGATTTCGGGAGAAGCTGCAAGGATCATCGCTGCACGAATGCAAGGATCCTTTACACTGGTGGCAAGCGGCGCATACCCCTCCCGAACGGACGTACCGAATTGAAACAAGTGGTGAATGGCGCATAGATACGAACGCTTGAAACAAACCACATTAAAGGAACTGCTGGAAGCTCGAGGCATAGTGGCAAGCAACAAACCGAAAGCCACGTTAATAGCCGAACTACTGGAGAGCGATCAAACCGGCGAACCACAAATGGCGAATGCAGAGGGATGTGAGATGGAGACTCAGCCTGGTAGGACCTAACCCTGCACCAGAGATCGTAGTACAGATCTTGGCACAAGCTACAGAGTCCCAGAATGCCAGGGAAGCACGAGAAGCCAGAGACAGGTCACCTCCAGTGGATATACTGTTGCTATCTGGATCTACAATGGGGCGGCAGCGGAAAATCAACTACGCTGCATTTAAAAGCTTCGTGGAAGGTGAGATGGATATTGATAATTACTTGCAAGATTTTGAGAGACAATGTGTGTTAGAAGATTTGGAAAGAGCTAACTGGGCTGCAGTATTAAGTAGTAAACTATCAGGGAGAGCAGCCGAAGCGTTGAGAGCTGTGCCAGATGGGGATATACAAAACTATGACAAGATAAAATAAATTTTGTTAGCCCGGTACGCTGTAACTCCTGAAGCCCATAGAAGGAAATTCAGGGCCCTCAGAAGACAAGGCAAGGATTCATATACGGAGTGGGCATTTTGTATGCAACGCGCTGCCAGTAATTGGATGCAGGGGAATCAGGCAACTACCCTAGAGGATGCTGTGCAATTGTTGTTACTGGAGCAATTTTTTGATTATACTCCAGCGGAGGTGAGAGACTGGGTCAGAGACAGAAAGCCAAAAACGGTGGAGGAGGCAGCCAGGCTGGCAGACGAATTCCATGAGAGCAGGCGGATGGATGGAAACCGAGGGGTCCAGGGCCAGCGGCCTGCATCTGGCCCGCCAACTATGCCAGAGGGTACCACCACCAGGGGGCAATACCACAACCCCGGGGTACCAAAAGACCGCTCCAATGTGTTATGGGTGCAAGCAAGTGGGGCACATCAAACCTAATTGCCCACAACACACTACAGACCGCTGGGGGCGGGCACCGGTACCACCAACCAAAGCAGCCGCACACTGTGTGCAAGAGGATTACAACTCTCTGACTCAAGAGACACCCAGTAGCAACAGTGAGAATTGGGCCACCTTACATGAGGTGAACCCTGTGCAAGCGGCTGGGGATAACAGGGCGCACCACCGCCAGTCAGTAAAGCTCAATGGACAAGAGGCTTGGGGACTAAGAGACAGCGGGGCTACTATTACCTTGGTCCAGCCACACCGGGTCACCCCGACCCAGCACACAGGACGCACCATTGCTGTAAGGGTGGCCGGAGGGGCAATTCACAAACTACCAACAGCCCGGGTTCACATTGATTGGGGTACAGGGGCCAAGGCCGTAGAAGTGGGCATCATGCCAGATTTGCCCGCGGAAGTATCGCTGGGGAATGATCTAGGATGCCTGACGTCCCAATTGGCAGCCTGCAGTCCCGAAGGAGCACTACCTGTTACCACCAGGCAGCAATCCAGAGCCTCCCCCTCAACCCATGACCAGGTAAGCGATAACCCTCTGACGATTCCCCCTGACCATACTTCTTAATGGGGTACCCCTCAAGACTTTGAGCAAGCGCAACGGGAAGATCCCACCTTAAAAGGGTATCGGAGGGAGGCAGAACAACCCCAGGGAGACAGAGATCAGGCAAGGTTTAGCTGGGAAAAGGGTTTACTGTACCGAGTGACTGGGAGGACAGGGACAGGAGCGGGCCAGGTAGAAAAAAGACAGTTAATAGTACCCCGTAAGTATCGAGTAGAACTGTTGCGGATTAGCCACGATATTCCCCTAGCAGGTCACTTGGGCATTAAAAAGACGAGAGACAGACTCACCCAGTCCTTTTTCTGGCCAGGGGTCACTAGAGATTTGCAGTATTATTGTAGGACCTGTGAAGTATGCCAAAAGGTAGGGAAAAGTGGGGATCACCCCAGGGCAAAACTACGCCCCCTACCCATTATTGAGGAACCCTTTTTCCGAGTGGCAGTTGATTTAGTCGGGCCACTCAGTAAACCCAGTCCATCCGGTAAGAAATACATTCTTACTGTGGTGGACTACGCTACCCGCTACCCCGAAGCTATAGCTCTGTCCAATATACATGCAGAGACGGTAGCGGAAGCACTAGTTCAGGTATTCACTAGGGTGGGATTCCCTAGGGAGATAGTGTCAGATCAGGGAACCCAATTCACCGCGGTGGTTACCCAACAGCTCTGGCAGAGCTGTGGGGTAAAACCCATATTAAGTTCTCCCTATCACCCCCAAACCAATGGCCTCTGTGAACGTTTTAACGGCACCCTTAAGCAAATGCTCATCACGTTCACAGAGACCTGTAGGAATTGGGAAAGATTCCTCCCTCATTTGCTCTTTGCCTATAGGGAAGTTCCCCAGGAGTCCACCGGATTCTCCCCGTTCGAGCTATTATACGGGAGACGGGTCCGGGGACCCCTGGATCTAGTACGGGAACATTGGGAGGGTGATATGGAACAAGCAGGTACCCCTATAGTCTCCTATGTACTAGAGCTGAGGGACCGGCTACAGGCTCTGACCGAAACAGTTCGGGAGAACCTGCGAGCCGCCCAACAACGGCAGAAGTACTGGTATGACAAGGGAGCTAGAGACCGTATATTAGAAGTGGGACAAAAGGTCCTAGTGCTTAAACCTATCAAAACAGATAAGTTACAAGCATCCTGGCAGGGCCCCTACACTGTAATAGAGCGGATCAGTGATACCACGTACATTGTGGCAGACTGTTCCAAGGAAAGGATCCGGCGGTCCTTCCATGTAAACATGCTCAAGCCATATCTTGAGAGACCAGAGGAGGTCTCCGCGGTATGCGCTCCAGCATATGAAGATAGTGAGGGTATCCCTTTACCAGATATGCTTCCCCAGGAACCCACAGGAGTAGACCAGGTACAGTTGGGTCCAGAATTAGGTTCCGAGGAACAAGCTCAGGCTTCCCAACTGTTAAAGGAATTTGGGGGCATGTTTTCAGCAGCCCCAGGGTATACGACCCTGGCAGTCCACAGAGTGGAGACCCCAGGCCAGTTACCCCTGCGGCAGCAGCCTTACCGAATTCCAGAGGCAGTACGGGAAAGCATGTTAACGGAACTCCAGGACATGTTAGAACTGGGGGTCATAGAACCGTCCCAAAGCCCCTGGGCTTCCCCAGTAGTGCTGGTTCCTAAAAAAGACGGTACCACCAGGTTCTGCGTGGACTACCGTAAGCTAAACGATCGGACCGTTACCGACGCATACCCCATGCCCAGAGTAGACGAGCTGCTAGACCGTATGGCTGGGGGGGATTATTTGACCACTATTGATTTGTGCAAGGGATATTGGCAAATCCCTTTGGAGCCTGAGGCCATTCCAAAATCGGCATTTGTCACCCCATTTGGCCTATACCAGTTTAAGGTTATGCCATTTGGGATGAAGAATGCCCCAGCTACGTTTCAAAGGATGGCAGACCGGCTCCTAGAGGGATTTCAGGGCTTCGCTTGTGCTTACCTGGACGATATAGCTATCTTCAGTGGCACTTGGGAAGCCCACCTGGAGCACATCTCAGTAGTGCTCAACCGAATTCAGAATGCAGGGCTAACCTTGAAGCCTGAGAAATGCCACGTGGGCATGGCTGAAGTCCAATATTTAGGTCACAGAGTAGGGTCAGGAAAACAGAGACCAGAGCCCGCTAAGATTGAGGCCATCACCCAGTGGCCTCAACCCCGGACGAAAACCCAGGTCATGGCGTTCTTGGGCACCGCAGGTTATTACAGAAAATTTGTAGCGGAATACAGTGCCCTTGCCAAACCCTTGACAGACCTCACCAAAAAGTCCCTACCCCGACAAGTAGTCTGGTCCACTGAGTGTGAGGAGGCGTTCCAGAAACTCAAGGCTGCGTTAAGTGCATCTCCTGTGTTAGCAGCACCTGATCATACTAAAAGGTTTCTCGTCCACACAGATGCCTCAATGTTTGGACTGGGAGCAGTATTGAGCCAGGTGGGAGACGATGGCATGGATCACTCGGTGGCATATCTGAGCCGAAAACTATTACCCCGCGAAGTCAGCTATGCCACTGTGGAGAAAGAGTGTCTGGCATTAGTCTGGGCACTTAAGAAACTACAACCCTACTTGTATGGACGCTCTTTCACAGTGCTGACTGACCACAACCCTTTAATTTGGCTTAACAGAGTAGCTGGCGATAACCCCAGACTACTCAGATGGAGCTTGGCACTGCAACCCTATAATTTTACAATGCAGTATCGCCCCGGGAAACAGAATGCCAATGCCGATGGCCTGTCCCGGCAAACTGAACTGGAAAAGTCGTTTTTTTTGTTTGGTTCTCCTGTGCTACCGGACATCCCTTAGCCGACCCGTTAGGATCTAAGCAGGTATGCCGTTCCATGGGACTAAGGGGGAGCTGTGTAACGAAATCCCCTATTTACAGACTATACGAACAAGCCTGTTCGGTTATTTGGAGAATTACAGTGGGATTTCGTGGAAATAACAATAAATGCGAAATTGGCCGACCCCAGATAGCTATAGTATGGAACTTGCAGTCGGCTGCAAACACACGAACGGCCGGTGAAAGTCAAACTTCGGTCGACGATTCTGAGAACTGTGTTCGTGGGATCTGAGCGCTATTCGCCTAGAATATACCCTCAGATCCAAGCTATCTGGGGATAGGTGGAACTTAAAGGTTATGTTGTGTAAAAAGAAAGTTATATATTTTTATTCTGTTTTGCTAAATAAGAAAAGCCATGCTTCTTTCTTCCTGGAGATAATTAAGGCTCTCTTTGCTACCTTAAGTTAATTATCTCCAGGATGGAAAAGAGGGAGTGATTTATGTAAAAGGGGAGTGCTTATGCTATAGCCACTGTGATTGGCAACTGTGTTACTTTTGTCCCAGTCTTCCATCTGGTCCCTTACCTTCCATCTGGTCCCCACCTGCATAAATACCGGGCGGGTACCCCTTCATGAAGTCTCGACTCATGTTTGGGGGATTGAGAGTTATAATCACTTCGTTTCAGTTGGATTTTGGGAGAAGCTGCAAGGATCATCGCTGCACGAATGCAAGGATCCTTTACAAGATTAATTAATTAAAATAAGAATTTACATCAAGTTTGCAAATATGGCAGAATAAAATATACTAATGTAGCAGTTAGGCACATGCAATGTATGTTATATTTGGTATATGCGATTATACAGTAACTCCAATCATTTTACCGAAGGAAAAAACAATGTTGTTACTTCTGAGGATGATATAAAATCTTTGATTTAATTCATGAGAATGAGATTTTAATATCATGACTGATAATGGATTACTATATTTTGCAAAGCCTGGACATACATATGTTTTGATCATATAAAAGACAAAAGTTTTGATAGAATAAAACCTAGATTTACAAATACATTTGATGTAGGAAACAATATATGTTTTTTGTAGTTTGTTTCATGTGACAAAATGGTGCCAGTGTTAAGACAAGATGGCTGCTATTGCTAAAGTATAGTGGTAAACAATATTTTGTTGTAACATCTTATATGTGATTAGGTTATACCTCCAGATTATTAAACAGTTTAAAAGGGGGGTATAAGTAATAAAAAGTTTGGCAAATTTAAATGTTCAGAAAGACTTTGATATAAAGGAAATTTAAAGATTATACATCACATGACATAAATGCAATGACGACTAGATGGTAGATCTCATGAGAAGAAATGAGAATGTTGTGTAGTCCATGTAATTCAATGTTAAACTGTATAATAATAATGAGATATAAAGATTGTAAGCCATTGTATTGATGCTGCACATGTTTTTTTGTTTTAATGTAGGTAAAGTGTGACAGATCCATGTGGCAATAAATCAGGAAAGCATTCCTTTAGTCAACTGGACATCGACTGTTGGAAAGAGACTTTTCATCTGATCTGCAAACTGTGATGGAAGATTCTACAGAGTTCATTTGATACAGAAGATTAACAGACTTAAAAAGAAATAAAAGATTGGCACTAACATACATATATATTCCTAAATATTAATGAAGAAGAAAACAGACAATGAAAAGTTATTTAACAGTTATGAGTATTAATACCAAAAGAGACTACTTATAGCTAGATAACACATGGAGTACAATTACGAAAGGATAGTATTATGTATTATGAACTATTACATTATTACCTATACATAGGATGAGAAGTATCAGAAATAGATAAAATATGAAGTTGAAAAATAAGGATCATGGTTACTTAATACTACAAAGATTGAGTTCAATAGTATTTCATAGATTCACTAGAATGAGTAATTTGTTTATATCGAGGTGAAGTAAAACAAACAATGGTAACATAAGGAAGAAAACTAAGGAAGAATAATTTATATTGATTTATATTAAGTAATTATATAGATTAAGAATGCCTTGGATATAAGAGTTCAGAGATCCAAGAGGAATTGAATTGAATGGAAAGAGTATAGTACACAATTATATTTGACCTAAGTCTATAAAGGTATGGACTAGGGAGAATAGGTTTCTGGATATGATGGTATCCAATGAATACGTTGTTAAGTTGTTTTATGATTACCCTGAGTTTGTTAGACACAGACTAGGAATAAGAGTTTCTGGGCAGTATGACCCCAAGTTTATTTTATTTTATTTTAGTCAGTTGAAGTGTACTAAGGAATATGGATTGGTCAGAACATTAGGACAGTCCTGCTTTTAAGATGTATTACATTAATAAGTCATCACAATGCTAATGAATTTAAATTATTCTTTCCAAGTTATTTTAAAGTAAACTATCTTTCTCTTGAATTAAAAGTTTGTTACTACAAGGTGAAATTTTAGTCAAAATTATTAATGTAAACTAAAACAAATATATGATAGAAAGATTTCTGGGTGAAGAATTTCTAGGACAATAAGTATTGTCAACACCATGAACATTATTTGAAGAATTAGTATAGAACTTCATGGTTGATAACACATCCTTTGAATGAGTCTTATAAGTAGTGTTGATATAATTCAGGTAGTTAGAGCCTACTGAATATACAAATTAAATACTATGATTGTAAAGTACTGATACAATCATCATTAGTTGGTATTATGGTATAGGAATGTAATTCATGAATACAAATGACCTAAAGATTTTAAGGTTGCTAGAAACCATATGATTCATGGAAATCTAATTGGACAGGATATTATAGTAATACATGTATTAGTACTTAAGTGATATCAGGTAATGAGAATGAAAATACTATGTTATATGTGTCTGTAGGAATATGATAGTGATACACAGTTATTATTTAGAAAGTTATCATCTTGATTTTGTTATCTACAAAGACATGACTGTACCAGAGCAGGTAGATCTTTCTAATTGTTTTATTGTTTATTGGATCAACATTTGTAAATATTTTATTTTATTCATTTATTATTGTTAAATGTATATATTATGTTCAAGTAGTTATGATGTAACATGGATATCAATACATAGCTGAAACAGAGGGAGTTTGAAGTAAAGTAAGCAGAATGAGGGATAGAAACTCGACCTTCTAAGAACTCTCATATAATAGAAAGTTGTGACTACATCTTGTTCTATGCTCAATGAATGTGATACAAGTGATGTATGAAAGGACAGGTTAGTGACATTGTGTTATGGTTTTAAAACAAACCATAAACAGAGGGAATGTAGAATATTGCATATTCTATGTTTCTATTGATTATATATATGGATGTGTGGATTGACATAAGTAACAGATGGTATCAATAAGTCACAAGGCATTCTTTGTCCGAGAGCTCTGGAATGTGGATGTGGGGGTCTTGTCCTTATATGGCTAGAGTTAAATGCTGACGTTAGTATGAGCACATCTTTATAGTAACAGAGGGACACAAGGTCGCTCTCTCTTGGCTCGTGGCTCTTGGCTCTGAGTTCTCTCTGGCTCTCTCTCTCGATGTAAAGATGTAAGGATTTAAAGAAGTCCAGCAATTACCATCTGCTGTTGAATGTACATTATCCTGTAACATAATTTATTATGTTTTATTATGTATCTGTAACTAAGAATAAACCTGAAGAAACCGTAAGTCAGATTGCGTATTACTACTTTTCAATAATATAGACATATATTATTGTGGCGAGCATTTGGCCCAAGACTATATATACAAAAGACGTATATATATCAATCATCAAGATTTTACACTGCCATAGAATATATACAGGGAAGTAGATAATCACTCCCTTATGCTAAGTATGAAATATTGATGTGGCAATATTCCACAAAAAGGAATCTTGTACTTTCAATTTAGACGTGCTGTATTACTGGCTAGGGCAGAGCATCATAGAACTAGGACTAATAACTCTAAAATAATTCAGGGTAGAGCATTATATAACAGATATAATTGAGTTGCTGTAAACAGACTGTAATGCAGAAAATAAAGAGAATACTAATAAAAAAGAGTGGAAAGAGAGAGTCTCATTCAAGCCCTTTGGAGATACAGTGTCTAACTCATATATCCAGAATATCTTGCCACGATCTCCCACTCTTCTTCATATGGGGACATGGTCAATTGCCACAAATTTCAAAGAGGCCAATGGATGTTTCTGTTCAAGAAAGTGCTTGGCTACAGGTTTATCAGACATCCCATCCCTATATGCCAGTCTAATGCTGGATCGATGTCCTCTGATCCTCTCACATAGCGCAGTTTCCGTCTTGCCGATGTATATAAGGCCACATGGACACATGAGCTTGTACACAACGTGTGTGGTTTTGCAGGTGATAGTGCTTCAATTGTAGTACTTCTTGTTGGTATGAAGATGTGCAAAAGTTCTTGATGGAGTCATATGGCCACACGTTACGCAGCCAAGGCAGCGTATACTACCACGGTTCAATGGTGTATTCTTCTCTGTGTCTCTTAAATTAGGGTCCGTGTAGACCAAGAGGTCTTTTAAGTTTCTGTTCCTCTTAAAGCAGATCAGAGGTTGTTCTTGAAAAACTTTGGGGAGGGTGTCATCCGCTGCCAATATCCTCCAGTTATTTCTAATGATCGAAGATATTTGTGGGGATGACCGATGGAAGGTTGTAGGAAAAAACATTCTCTGGGTTATAGATGCCTCCTTCTGTACTCGATGCAACTTTTCCTCTATAAGTGCTTTATCTAGGATAGGGCGCTGGTATCCTCGTTCCAAGAACCTTTCCGTCATCTCGGACAACTGTCTCTAATTCAGATCTACTTTAAAATTGTTCCTAATCACTCTAAGATATTGAGCTTTTGGAAGGGAAGACTTTAGTGCCATGGGGTGAGCACTTTGTGCGTGTAGCAACATATTTCGGTCTTTGACCTCCGTGTACAGGCTATACTCTATTCGGTTTGTGCCAACAGATAATTCCACATCCAGGTATTGCACTTTCTCACTATTGATGTTAGCCGTCATCCTGACTGGTGTTGGGAGTTTGTTGAGTTCTTGTACCATGGTATAGGCTTCAGACATGGTGCCGTTCCATACAATCAACAGGTTATTGATGTAACGGTAGTAACTCTGTATTAGGTGGCCATATGGAATCAGGATATTCTTCTGTTCATATGTGAACATGTATGCATTAGCATACATGGGGGCCATCACTGCCCCCATGGATGTACCTGATCCCTGGAGATACCACTGGTTTTCGAATCAGAAATAATTTCGTTCCAATGTTAATGCCAATATCTCCAGAACATATTCAATAGGTGGCCCCACATACACCGTTGAAATTGTAAGTACTTGGCTTCTATGCCCCCTTCATGCGGGATGACGGTGTATAGGCTTTTGACATCCATCGTGATTAAAATAGTTTTACTCTCTCGAAATTCAATGTTATTGATCTTGCCCAGCAGCATTGGTGTGTCCTTAATACAAGTTTCCAGCTGTTCAGTTGGTCCTTTAAATAGGGCGTTGAGCCATTTGGCTAAAGGTTCCAAGATCCCTTTGATCGCAGACACTATTGGACGTCCTGGAGGGCGCTGAGCGTCCTTATGAATTTTCGGGATGCTATAAATAATAGGGCTGCGAGGGTGCTTCTGGTTTAGAAATTGGAATAATTCCAAATTAATAAACCCCGCTCTTAGGCCCATATTATTTAAATGTTTCTATCATATCCCCCCTGTCTCGTCTTGAAATCCATGTGTTTTTAGATGTTCAACAATCCTGTCCTTTAACATGGTTTCCATCACTTTCCCCACTACTGAAGTAAGGCTTACTGGCCTATAGTTGCCCGACTCCTCCCTATTACCTTTCTTGTAAATGGGCACAACATTCGCTAACTTCCAATCTTCTGGGACTACTCCTGTTAACAATGATTGGTTAAATAAATCTGTTAATGGTTTTGCTAGTACACCACTAAGCTCTTTTAATAGCTTTTGGGTGTATTCCATCAGGTCCCATTGACTTATTTGTCTTTACTTTTGACAGTTGAAATAGAACCTCTTCCTCTGTATACTCACGTGTAATAAATGACTAATTTATCCTTTTTCTCAACTGAGGTCCCTTTCCTTCATTTTCATCTTGTTCCTGATCCTGCTTCGCTCTACGGAAGGAAGGGATTCACCTACTGGAACTTGGAGCCTGGTTGTAGGTCCAGGGTGGATAGCAGACGCCGAGATACTAGCCCAGCAGCGGTGGTTCGTTGAGCCTGCAGTACTTATGGTGTCTACACAGTACTTATGGTGTCTACAGTGCTGATGGTCCTTTGGTGAGCGCTAGGAGCATCCTTTCTACGGTCCAACTTCCAGCCAGCCTGGAGGCAACCGTAACAAGCTCCTCAAGTCATTACCCCAACCATGTGGTGCCGTCAAACCTTAAAGGACATCCTGGAGGGCAAGGATGTTAATCTCGTATCGCTTATCATTGCCTCCCAGGATGTCACAGTACACCACCCATACATCTAGGGCGACATCTCAGTGGTCATTGCAGGCCAGAGACACAAGACTGGAAAGATTATTCATCAGCATGGTTGTGGCCTTCCTGGTCTTGTGTCAGTACAGACACTACTGCATGCCACATCTCTCAGCCTATATTCCGGGCAAATTGGGTCCAGTACGTCTACACTCAGGTCAGTGGACTCAGCAAGTATATAGTATATTTAGTCATGGCATTGCGGCACCTCTATCATGTTCCCCTTGTAGCCCCTACCATGATCATATGTTACACTATGTACACGGCAGCTTTAATGACTGTGTTGGTAGTAGAGTGAAAAGGTTTAGAGTCTAATAGGTTGGATAATGAGTGGAAAAGTGTGTTATCTATAGGTAATCTCTGTGGAGGACGTGGAGGAACGAATTTCTGAATACCTCTAAGTATGTTCTTTACCTGGTAAGATGACATGAAACTATGTGTATTGGGTTGTAGAGTTAGCATATCATGTTGAATGCCTGTCAGATATAATTTGATTGTGTTGTAAGATAAGTGTAATTTAAGGTGGGGAAAAAAGAAGCGAAGGCTATAATAGATGTGATGACGAAAGGTTGGGTTATGTCGTGGTCGGATAGTAATCTTATGAAAAGTGTGAAGGCTCTTGTTACGATTGCCCTCGGTCTAGCAGGGGGGTTGATCACTTGGATGTCCTGGTTCCCGTAATAGAGAGTCGAACGGAGTTCCTTCGGTAAAAAGCTGCAAGTGTAGAGTATCCCAAAAGCTGTATAAGCATCAATATCCTGGATCCCTACAACATGAGTCGAGGCTGCAAGTTGAGGGTCAAAACGAACTGGCTTTACTGGCACACAAACATGGCAATTTATGCAATTCCTCAGGTCCAAGGACAGCCCCCTATGGACCTGATGGAATACAGGTACAGTACAAACAGGTAACCAATCACAGTACAATGTATCATTTGAATTAGTACCCGCCCAGCTTGGAGATAATGAGGCCAACGGCTATACAATCTAATTATCTCCAAGCACACAAAAGACCACATTTTATTATGCCTCCTAAAACTGTATAAAAATACATAACTTCAATATTAATAGGGGAAAACGGTTAATTCTACCATTCATTCAATAGCTCGCGTTCGGGTACATTAAATATACGAATGGCGCTCAGACCCCACGAACGGAATGAGTAATTTCTGCCATATAAAGTCCGTTCGGTATTTTGGTCGTGAGTCCCTGATGGCGGCCATGTTTTTAGGCGGTTTAACGAGCAGCGGGACCTCGACTCCAACTTATAGAACTGAAATCGGATAGGTGCTCATGCGAATCCCCGCTGTCTGTCTGGTAGTGGAAATTGTTCGGTATACGAATTGAGACCGCTCGGTAGAATGGTACTTGAGTTGCGGTTAACCACAGAAACCACATTCTAATTGCTGACACATGACCCACTGTAGGAGGTCTCTGTTCGTGAGGTTGTTCGGTAGTTCCCATTCGGTAATTTGAATGCGAACGTAGATCCTCCGTGCCCGTCAATTAGTTTGTGGTTAACCCCAGACTGCAGCCGCCTGGGGGGTTAATGGGCGCCACACTCCGCTGGTCGGGTGGTCGGTCATTCGGTACTTTGCGGGGTGAGGAGGTTAATTGGCGACACACGCCAGTGTTTGGGGGGTCTCTTGTTCGTACCACGAATGGTTCTTTATAAGGATTCGTACAATCCATTCGTATTTCTGTGTCAATAGTATAGGGATGCAACTGTAACAAAATGTGGTAACAATAATAAAGTCATTTCGAGTCTTTTGTAACAGCTCTGTTGTATGCTTTGAGAGTGTTGGATGATAATACTAATTTGGACAGATCCCTGCTATGTTGCATGATTAGTTCTAGTCCATGGTTAGCTGCTGGAACGGAGGGGCGGCTGTGGCTGTTGGTGCTGATGACGGGAGTGCTTTCTGAAAAGCCTGAAAGTTGAAACGAGACAGACTGTCAGCTGCTATGTTAGTAATGCCTGGTACATGAAAGCAGACCAAGTAAAAATTGTGACATGCTGCTAACCACGTGAGTTTCCTGAGAAATCTCATGATTGTTAGGGATGATGAACGGCCTTTGTTAATGATGTAACATGTTGCTTGGTTGTCTGTGTGGCAACGGACTGACAAGCCTGACCATAAATGTCCTCACACCATGGCGGCTGCTACAATGGGATAAATCTCAAAAAGAGCTGAGGTTGTAAAAAAGCCTTCTAAGTCATAGACTTCTTCAGGCCTCTTACCCCAAAGCCATTTGTTCCCAAAGATTGCTGTGAAACCTGTGCTAGACGCCGCGTCTGACCATATGGTTGGAGACGTGTCAGTCAACTCTGGTAGGAACAAGCTTTTACCATTCCAGGTGGTCAAGAATTCTTTCCACATATATAGGTCTGCCGTGGCGTGCACATCCAAGAACAGTCTATGGTTGTCGTGTTTGAAATGTGGAAAAAGGCAGAGAAGTCTGGATATGAAAGCAAGCCCTTGAGGAATGATGCGCATGGCAAAGTTCAAGGAACCTATGAGGGATTGAAGTTCCTTGCGGTTGCATTTACCCAGCAAAATGTAATGGTTAATGCTGTTGAGTATGTTTGTGATTTTCTCTTGTGGTAAACTAGCTTGCATGGAGGCAGAGTCTAGTTGTATACCTAGAAATGTAATGATTGTATTTGGGCCTTCAGTTTTCTTGTTGGATACTGGGACTCCAGGGTGGTCAAACAGACTAATGGTTGCTTTGAGACTCCTGGGGGGAAAGGAGTTTGCTTCAATCAGTAATAAATCATCCAGATAATGGATGACTATGGGGCATCTAGAAACATGAAGTAACAAACAGCAAAGTGTTTCAGCAAAAGTGTCGAAGATTTTGGGGCTACTTTTTGACCCAAAGGTTAAGCGGGAGAAAAAGTAATAGTTATCTGCCCATTTAATGCCATGTAAATGCCATAGTGTGGGGTGGACAGGTAGTAGTTTGTAATGTCTGTCTTACTTAGCCATGCTCCGATCCCTGCTTGCATAATGGCTGTAATGGCCTGGTCTATGGTGGCATATTGTAGGGAAAACTCTTTGGAGAGAATAAGAGAGTTCAGACTCAGGGTAGATGAGGTATGAGGGGCTGACAGATCTATAATGAGTCTTTGCTTGAGGGAAGTTTTCCCTGTGACTATCTCTATGGGATTTGTGCGCCATTCTATAAAAGGTGGGGTGTTAAACGGCCCAAACAAGAACCCCTCTGCCAGCTCTTGGGCTAAGAGTGTATCTACGGCTGTTGGGTTTTGTT